GTAGCAGTAGTAGCAGTAGTGGTAGTTGTGAAAGAGCCGAGTAGGAGCAAGAGTAGACGAGTAGCTAGAACGAGCAGGAGTCATTAGGAGGAGTAGAAGTAACTAGTAGGGGTAGAAGAGGCAGCACGAATAGTTGTCGCCAGTAGGGACCGCAGTCCTGCCACGTCCGCTCGTGGCGCTCTTTCTCGCAGCAACTCTTGCCTGAGGTATGCATTGTCAAGAGGTATTACAGACAGGGTTTACAAGTGCATTCTTGGCCATGGAACTGCGGAGAAGGGGGGCATTCAGCTTTCTACACGCAGGTTTAGGATGTATAGGCGGGTTTACCGGGTACATGCTTGCCATGATCCCCGAGCATCGGTTCGCGTAACTACTGAGTCTTGCAAATTCCGGAGGTCTCGCGAGGCCAACGACTCCAAGATGAAAGAGAGAGAGAGAGAGAGACAGAGACAGCGAGCACAGTCTAGGAGAGATGGGTGAAGGGCCAGGCTTTAACACGAGGGATTCACGGTCTGGGCCTCTGCTTAGGGCTTGGGTAGCCCGTCCCTTGCTGCTGGCCTCTCAGAAGAAGCAATATATACATGGAACGACAACTTACCGGTGACTCTCTCGCTCTGGATTGTTTGGGGTAAGCACTGGTGCGAAGTAGGCTTCGGCCAAGTGGCACTTCAAGGTACTGGCGCTGCAATTCCTCGAGCTGCTGCTGTGTAGTCAATAGCTGACTCTGCAAGAGCGCCTCGTGTCTGAAGCACGCCTCCTCTGTGAGATTTTCTGGTGGCTGGAGGCCGGTGCGAGTCACCGGCTCAGCTACAAGCTCCTCGGTGCTATGCCCGGGAGCGTCGATCTCTGAGCTAGGCGCCCTCGCAGGGGGCGCGAAAGCTTCCCCGAAAGAGCTGGAGGACCGATCCGGGGCCCCGCAGGGATCGAGCAACGAGCTGGATGAGGCGGGAGCTGTCATGTCATCTGCCGACCTCTGCTGCCTTCTGCTGGGACGTGCCATGCGCTGGGGCCGCAAGCCAGGATCCCCGAGAGCAGACCCTCGGATCGTGCAATCACGCACATTAGGCGACAGAGACCGCGGATGTGCAAACATCTCAATGCGAGGGTCGACCACTTCTTCACCAGCAATAGAAATATTCCCGCTCTCCAGGTGCAGCGTGCTACCAGGTGACAGACTCCGGCGACTTCGGCCGCGGTCCGGGCTCCGCAGGCCGTTGAGTGCACCGCTGGTGTAAAGAGCGCTGGCCTCCTGGCGCGCTCGCTCCAGCCATGCCCGTAGCTGCACCGGCGCACTCACGGAAGCGGCCTCGGCACTGCTCTGAAGGCGATCCGTGAATCGACTGGAGCTGCTGGTGGGAGATGCTTTCCGAACACAGGTCGAGCTCGAGTGAGGCGTCTCAGGCATCGTCTCCGAGCTCTCTGCGCGTGTCTTGCGAGGCGGAGTTGCTTGTGAGGAGCGGGTGGGCTGGCTTCGGCTTGTTTGCGGCCTTGGAAAACTCTTTTGCCCGTGGTTGGGCAAGTTCATGCTAGCACTGCTGCTTTTGCCACTCGTGCCTATGCTCGCTGCACTGCTTGCTGCATGCTGATGCTGGGGTTGTTGCGGCTGGGGCAGGCGCCGACCGGGGCCGCTCCGAGCAGCGGGCACCTTGCGGCGTCGATCCGCGCGTGGCTCTGGCTCGGGCTGGCTCTCGTTCGGCTCGTAATGCCCTCGATCAGGCTGTGGTACCTCTGCTACTTTATTCACCGACATGGAGACGCACGTTTCAATCTCAGACAGCCAACAAAGCGTTGATGAGGCTCAGGCCGTGGGGACGTGGCCTGAGATGCGCAGAGGGACGAAGCTGCTACAGTACCAGATCACGTCACATCATGAGAAGATCAGATACACGTATACATAGAAGCCGTCTGCTCATCTTGTACATGTCCGTACACATGCGTGCACAAAGACATCTTGGTGAGACTTGATAACTGTGATATGGGGTAAGGATGCATGCCGTGTGATACCTGCACGCTCCGTCGCAGGCTATGGTTGGTCCCAATGTTTCTGCGGTATGAATTTGGAGTGAGCTGGTTTGGCAACGCAATGCTTGTACAAAGAACTTGTGCAGGAGGTTCGCTCGCCTTCGGCGCTCGGCCTCTCTCAGCACATGATGAGCGTTGCTTGGCCGGGGATGGGCCAGACCATTTTGACACAAAAGATCCAACACGCAGGCTGAAGACCCGGAAGCTATCCCTAATCACCCCTAACTCCCCACGCGAAGAGTCGTGCCAACCCGTGCTGGGTCAGGTTTGCCAGGAAAAACCTTCAAAGAAGGGCTTCGCTGACGAGTTCCGAAGAACCAAAACTTAATATGAATTGTGCAACAGGTCCGGCTGAGTAGCCTCCCTATCTACGCTGATTGAAGCTACAACACCCTGCACATCCTTGCTCTCCTAAGCGGCCTCTTTCACATCCAAATTCACGATGTCTGGCTTCGACATCGAGGCATCCTCCTCCTCGTCCTCACCTGGGAGCCCGTCCAGCTGCTTCAGTTCATCCTCGGTGAACATGAACCTCATGGCTTTGCGGATGATGGCCAGGGACGCCATGAAGAACGGGAACACCACCGACGTTTCCTTGATTGCTTTTAACCCATACAGAATGCCAAGACAGATGACCTGAACGACGGTGTACAGGTGCACTCGGCTGATGGACAGCTTCTGGATGTAGTGGTACTGCGGGTACTTGGCCGGGTCCCAGATAAGCCACAACTTCAGCCGGTCGAAGAGGTTGTTGCCCGTCAGGCTCGCAATTCCCATGTAGAAGAACACGCCCTGCAGCACGGCCCGCGGCANNTTCAGCACTGGTGCCAGGAAGAGTGCAGAGCCTATGAGCACGTGAATCCTTAGCTGTGAGTTTTCATAAGCCCCGAAAATCTAAATTTTACTTCTGTAATATTATCCCAGCACGTGTAAAGCGTACTCATTCAGCTATTAAGAATCAAGAAGTTGGTAGCACGCTGTTCCACCACCTTCGTAGGCACCTTGCGCTCACCTTCCGGAAGTTGCTTCACTTCGTAAGTGGTCAAGGAGATCACGTGGGTGATGCTCGGCACCGTGGAGGCCACGGACAGGGGCAGGCCCAGCACAGCACAGATGGGCAGCGTCAGTGCTCCACGAACGAACCTGTGCCCGTCTTAAGAAGGAAAGAAAACAGGATATGTTTAATGGACTCCCTCTGCTAGAAATGCAAGGCAACCTCAACACTAATAAATCGAAAGGATACCGAATAGCTTCGAAACAAATCAAGGTGATAAGCAGCCGGCTTCTTCAGATTGTTAGAGGGTCTGTTCACGATCACAGAGGTGAGATTTTGATCCAGGTAACCCAGAACAGCGAAGCCAATCGCCTGGGTTGTGCTGACACAAGTCACCAACATGCTCCCCTACAACCTTACGGTATCAATCTACATGAAACCAAAACATGTCCTCTTATCAAGTCGCCGGGAGGATCGCATAAGCAATGCCCCAAGCTGGGAAGGGGCGGTCCATGCCGGCGGGATTAATGATCCACGGCCGCTTGCTGCCATCGGACAAGCTCAAGTTTGGCGAGAAGTCCGCATCCACCTGCAACATCCTCAGGCCTGTGTCGTTGGAGTAAATGGCGGCCAACGCGGAGCCACTCACCAAAGCAATGGTCACTGCGAAATTGGCCGCAAA